AATCACCTCCCTTGACCTACTAGCGATGCTGTACTTGATGCACCCCCGGATACCGTTGGCCCTTCTGGCTGCCAGGGCACACTGCTGGCTCATATTCAACTTGCTGTCAACCACACTCCCAGGTCCCTCTCTGCGGGGCTGCTCTCCAGTGTCTCATCGCCCAGTCTGTACGTATAGCCAGGGTTGCCCCGTCCCAGGTGCAGGACCCGACACTTGCCTTTGTTAAACTTCATGTGGTTGGTGATCGCCCAGCTCTCCAATCTGTCCAGGTCTCTCTGCAAGGCCTTTCCACCTTCAGCTGACTCCACAACTGCTCCAAGTTTGGTGTCATCAGCAAATTTGCTCAAAACACCTTCTAGTCCTACATCTAACTCATTTATAAAGACATTGAAGAGGACTGGCCCTAAAATGGAGCCTTGAGGGACCCCACTAGTGACCATCTGCCAGCCAGATGTGGCCCCATTTACCACAACACTTTGAGCCCTGCCCGTTAGCCAATTGCTCACCCATCGTATGATTTTGGTTAAGTTGTGTGCTGGACATTTTGTCCAGTAGGATCCTATGGGAAACTGTGTCAAAAGCCTTGCTGAAGTCCAAAAAAATCACATCAGCTGGTTTCCCTTGGTCAACAAGATGGGTGACCTTATCATAAAAGGAAATCAGATTTGTTAGGCAGGACCTCCCCCTCATGAACCCATGTTGGCTGGGACCAATGACTGCATTGTCCCCCTGGTGCACCTCAATAACTTCAAGAATCATCTTCTCCATAATTTTACCAGGCACTGATGTGAGATTGACTGGCCAGTAATTGCTAGGGTCTTCTTACTTACCCTTCTTGAAAATTGGCACATTTTCCAGCTTCCACTCTACTGGGACCTCTCTAGATTTCCAACATCATTGAAAAATAATTGAGAGAGGTCCCACTATGACATCAGCCAGCTCTTTAAGAACCCTGGGATGGATGCCATCCAGACCCATGGACTTGTATGGATGGAGGTGGAGCAGCAAATCCTGCACACATTCAGGGTCGGTTGGGAGTTTGTCATTCCCGCCTCCATGGTCCTCCAGTTCAGGGCACCTGGGGTTTGGAAGCCCATCATCTGCATTGAAGACAGAGGTGAAGAAGGCATTAAACATTTCTGCTTTGCCTATATCCTTGTCTGTGAGGAGACCTTCCACGTCAAGTAGTGGACCTATGTTCTCTTTGGTTCTCCTTTTTCTGTTAACATATCTAAAAATAAAACAAAACATTTTTATTGTGTCTCACAGACATGGCCAGCTTCAGCTCTGGTTGGGCTTTGGCCCCATGAATTTTCTCCCTACAAACACGAACAGCATCTCTGTATTCCTTCCTTGTCACCTGACCCTCCTTCCAGCAGTCATACACTTTCTTTTTCCATCTAAGCTCCAGGAGAAGATCCCTGTTCAACCAGGTCGGCCTTCTGCCCCACCTGCCTGACTTCTGATGTTTTGGAATTGCCTGATCTTGTGCTTTTAGGAGTCAGTGCTTAAAGATTGACCAGCACTGATGAACGCCAATGCATTCAAAAGCAGCTTCCCAGGGGACCTTGCTGACTAGTCCTCTGAGCAGCCTGAAGTCCTCTTTCCCCATATCCAGGGCTGAAGTTTTTGTGGCACTTTTCCTCCTGTCACCATATATTCTAAACTCAACCACTTCATGGTCACTATGACCGAGATGGCCGCTAATTGCCACATCTCCCACAAGACCCTCTCTGTTTTCCAGCAATAGATCAAGGAGGGCACCTTTCCTAGTTGGCTCCCTTAGCACCTGCACCAAGAAGTTATCATCTACGTGCTTTATGAACCTCCTGGACTTGCTCATGTCAGCCATGTGGTGATCCCAGTTGACATCTGGCAAGTTGAAATCTCCCATAAGGGACAAAGGGGAATTGATCTCTTAGTTCTGCAAAGAATAATTCTTCAGTGTTGTCGTCCTGGCCGGGTGTCTGTAATAGAATTTCCACAATGACATCCCCTTTATTTGTTCATCCCTTAATCCTTACCCAGAGGCTCTCAACTTTGCCATCCCCAACTTGAAGTTCCATGCAGTCCAGCCCATGCTTCACATACATCGCCACCCCGCCAACCTCGCCTACCCTGCCTGTCCCTCCGGAAGAGCCTGTAAACATCTATTGCAGCACACCAGCCACAGGACTCATCCCACCAGGTTTTGCTTATGCTGATGATGTCGTAGCCATGGGACTGGGCTTCTAGCCCAGTCTTCAACTCGTTCATTTCTAGCCCAGACTTCTAGCTCGTCCATTTTATTCCTTATACTGTGTGCGTTCATGTAGAAGCACTTCAAATGCACCTCCCTACACACAGCACTTTGGGGAGCCAACCGAAGGACCTCACCAGCACACAGTCCCTCTGATTCTAGTGCACCATCCCGTAGTTCATCACCGACATGCCTGCTTTTATCCCCTTCCCCCGTTTAAAGCCCTATCAATCAGCCCTGCCAAAGGTCTAGAGACCTAGTCAAGAGACAAGGTCAAGAGACCTGCAGAGGAGATCCTGATGCAGACTGGTCAGGATCAAGAGACAGCTGCCTGGGGATGGGCTGGGCATCAGTCAGGGTGTGCTGAGTAATTGCCTAGAGCAATTACTCTTGCTTTGTACATTCAATAATAGTAATAAAAATATTTATTATTATTAATCATAAATGATAATATTATCATTATTTTTCCTCTTCCTTTTCTCTCCTATTTAACTGTCTTTATCTCAACACACAAGCTTTTCACAGAATCAGAGAATCACAGAATCATTTAGGTTGGAAGAGACCTCCAACTTCACCTAGTCCAACCTCTGACCTAACACTAACAAGTCCTGCACTAAACCATATCCTCTACATCCAAACGTCTTTTAAAGACCTCCAGGAATGGTGACTCAACCACTTCCCTGGGCAGCCCATTCCAATGTCTAACAACCCTTTTGGTAAAGAGGTTCTTCCTAATATCCAACCTAAATCTCCCCTGGTGCAACTTTTGCTCATTCCCCCTTGTGTTATCACCAGGCATGTTGGAGAACAGACCGATTCCCACCTCGCTACAGCCTCCTTTAAGGTGCCTATAGAGAGAGATAAGGTCACCCCTGAGCCACCTCTTCTCCAGGCTAAACATTACACCTGTTGTACTACAAGCTCCCATGGGTCGGATCCTCATTTTGAGAATTACCCCGCTCACTGTGTAACCTTGAGGAGGAAGGATTTACAAACTCCAGCCTCAAAGACCTCACAGGATTGTCATGCACTCTGACTGTACAGTCCAGCCCTTTCTTCCCTGAGTCAGAAGGGACCTCTGGAGGTGTTCACTACCATCATCTTCTCTGAGCAGTGATAGCTCTACTGGTAGATCAGGTTAGTTAGTGTTTTCTGCAGATCGGTATTGAAAATCTCTGGGCCTATGACCCAGTGTTGATCCACTGTCTTGGTGTCTGTTCCCCTAGTACAGACAGTGAGGCCAGCAGAAGGGTGGAGCTGGTCGAATTTCAAAGATCAGCTCCCCTTGGGCAGTGGGGAATGGCTGTCATTGTGCTCCCCACATGTGATCCTCAAGCTGGTAGTGCTGCTGTGCAGAGTAAATGGGCTGTGGTGCTGTGGGGTGAATCTGCATGGCCGCGCTGGTCAGGTTGGGAAGCAGACCCAGACAGGTCCAGATCACTGGGCTGGACCAGACAGAGGTACTCTGCGAAGGGGGAAATGAATCATTGACCAGCTTCCCTTCCCTCTGCCTGCTTCAGGTCCACTCTCTTCTCTGAGACTGTAGAGTTGCAGGTTCCCTATGAATACCTGGCTTTAGTTCTTTCCCTGTGGCTGAGCCCATGGTGGGAGATCTCTCACTTTCAGAGGGGCTGCAGTCAGTGCTCATGCCATGCTCCGCTGTTCTTGGAGGTACCCTGGGCTCTGCAGGCAGCTCCCAATTCCCCTCCTGAAGGACATCATCTACAGGTCAGATGTGGGAACAGCCCTGGCTATGTAATGCAGTGACCATTTGCTGCCTCTGCTGTGAGCAGACACCTATGGGCGAGTCTTAAATCTAGCCCTTGGGCTCTGACAGGTCACAGTGTAACAATAAGCCATTCCCTCCTAAACCTAACAAGGAACAGACCCTAGTGGAGAGCTATTTTTTGGCACAAGCTTGAGTAGGAAATTCCAGCCTTCAGGCAGTCCACATGGGTTATCCTGTTTATTACAAAGTTTTTATGAGATAATTCACTGACTCACAATTACAAGTACATGCAGAAAGCATCCATATGACACAGAGCGGTTTCACTCATTCATTGCAGTGGGAGGAATCCAAATATTTATGTGGGAATACAAGAAGCAAAAGCAGTCAATATGACAATAAGGAAAAAGCAATTTTATAAATAATGATAAAAACAAGGAACAAAAAAGAACATGATGGAATGGGATGAACAATTTTCATTTCTGTAGAGTGAAGGAAACTTTATGAGTACTAAAAAACATCCCCCAAATCAGTTTTAACAGCATCCATGAGCTCTTTGTTCCTCATGCTGTAGATGAGGGGGTTCACCGCTGGAGGCACCACCGAGTACAGAACCACCAGCAAAAGATTCAGGGAGGAGGAGGACTTGAAAGGGGGCTTCAGATAGGCAAACACAATATTGCTGATGAAGACGGAGACAACAGCCAGGTGAGGGAGGCACGTGGAAAAGGCTTTGTGCCTGCCCTGCTCTGAAGGGATCCTCAGCACAGCTCTGAAGATATGCACGTAAGAAAGCACAAGGAAGACAAAACACCCAAAGGCTAAGCAGACACTAACCACAACAAGCCCAGCTTCCCTGAGGTAGACATCAGTGCAGGAGAGCTTGAGGATCTGGGGAATTTCACAGAAGAACTGGTCTAAGGCATTGCCTTGGCAGAGGGGGAGGGAAAAGGTATTGGCAGTGTGCAGCACTGCATAGAGAAAAGTACTGCCCCAGGTAGCCACTGCCATGTTGACACAAGTTCTGCTGTCCATTATTGTCCCGTAGTGCAGGGGTTTGCAGATGGCAATGTAGCGGTCATAGGCCATGATGGTGAGAAGATAAAACTCTGCTGTGACAAAGACAACAAACATAAATACCTGGGTAGCACAACCTGCATATGAAATGGTCGTTCTGTCCCAGAGGGAGTTGACCATTGCTTTGGGAACAGTGGTGGAGATGGAGCCCATGTCGATAAGGGCGAGGTTGAGGAGGAAGAAGTACATGGGGGTGTGGAGGCGGTGGTTGCAGGCTATGGCTGTGAGGATGAGGCCGTTGCCCAGGAGGGCAGCCAGGTAGATGCCCAGGAAGAGCCCAAAGTGCAGGAGCTGCAGCTCGCGAGTGTCTGCAAATGCCAACAGGAGGAACTCAGTGGGGAAGCTGCTGTTGGACATTTGCTGCCTCAGGGCATCTTTGCCTGTCCATGGAGGAAAATGCAGTCAAGTTAGGCAGGCATCTCAGAGCAAACCCCAACTCCTTCACTAACATAAGTCACCATTCCCTGAGCTGTAAGAGTATCACAGTGCAAGACACAGTCTCCTCTCCTCTTCTGGAGGTCCAGCTGAGGAGATGGTGGTTCATGCCCTAAAACCCCAGGCACTATGACTGGCTGGCAGAGGAGAGCAGGAGCTTGCTGCACATAAGGTTCCAGCACTTCAGGCCTGGCAGTGAGTGCCTGAATCCTACTTCCCTTGGTGTTTCAGGCAGTAGCTCCTTCTCCCTCTCTGCCCAAGTCTCTCATGCCTTGAGCTATCTCTGCTGGCAGATGCTTCCTGTCTCCACATCTCCTCCCTGCCATTGCTCACAAACCCCATCCCACCCATTGTGTGTTCGGCTCTGCCCGGCAGACACATCCTGCCCCAGGACACCTTTCGCGGACAACTCCCCAAGTTCAGAGGCAGGAGCAGCTCTAAGCTAATAGAAGTTAAAAGAACTGGGGACTCAGTGTTGTCGTCAAGATGGAGAAATAAATTGCCATCATCATCTGCCACCCAGCAAAGCAAGAGGAGAAATCTCAAAGCACAGAATGCTTCCCTTCAAGAATCCCTTGCTCTGACCTTTGTCTTGTGGAGTCCACTCTGAGATGCCCTGGGAGAGCTCTGGAGCTGGAAGCAGCCTGCCCCAGGCAGCAGCATCTGGGCACCAGCAGGACCATGCCCTGCCCTGACAGAGGGACTCCTTCCACCCACAGTTTATTCCCGCAGCACCCTGTACAGCTCCCCAGGCAGGCTGAGCCTGGCCGGAGCAGAGGCCCTGCCCCGGCACACAGCCCCTGGGGCACAACAGGGACCCTGCTCTGCACCACAGCCCTGGACACCCCTGCCCGCACCTCTGCATCTGGTCCCACAAGAAGGAGCACTCATGTCCTGTCCCTCTGACTGTATGGACAAGTAATCCCTGCTCTGGAACTTGTCGTTCTCCTCTAATCCAAAGAAACTCTGAGAGTCCTCCTGAGAGTTCCCATAGGCTGCAGAATTTGCCAGCAAATCTGGAGATGGCACCAGGAACAACAGCTGCATTGCCCTGCAGCCACAGACTTACCCTGTTCAGGGCTCTGAAGATTTCTCCTGCTGTGAGCTCTCAGCATCCCCCCTCACACTGCCTTTAACATCTGCCTCCCTTCTCTCAGCTGCCCTTGTCCCTGCAGGCAGCGCCCCCAGCCCTGCTGCTGTGCTGTGCAGAGGAGCTGCTCCTGGGCAGAGCTGTCTCTCTGAGTGCTACTCGCTTGCCAGGAGCTCCCTTGGGCCCAGGAGCCCGGCCCAGCTCAGCAGCACAGGGAGCTCTTGACAAGTCCCTGAGCCTCCAGTGGAATAGACAGGACACTTACTGCCAGCAGTGTCTTTTCCCCTATTTCAAAATAAATGTTTGACACGAGATTCATCTTTTCTTGTTCCGTTATGAGACCGGAGAGCCACAAGGTGACAGGCAGGCTGCATTCCATCTCTTCTAAGCACTTATTATTATTCAGAGGGAGGAAACATTTTCACAGAAATCCCTCTGTCTACATAAGCTACATAACCAATTGCTGGCCTGCAGGATCACCATATCATAGAACTCTTTGGGTATGAAGGGACCTTCAAGACCAGCAACCTGTTCCAGTGACTCACCACCATTTGTGTGAATAAAGGAGGCAGTGAAAGGAAGCAGACCTGGTCAGTCACACTGACTGGTGAGAGCATGGGACAGAGAGAAAATGTTAATTCCAGTGAGGTTATCGATTAGGGACATTTTTAGATGGGGAACCAAGAGAAAACGGGGAATGCTGGTAAAAGGCCTGTCCTGTGAAGACAGCCTGTAGACTGTTGGGTAGTCTGGAGAAAAGAACACTGAAGGGCGACCACATTGCTGTCAATTACTTCCTTAGGAGAGGAAGTGGAGAGGGGGGTGCCGGTCTCTTCTCTCTGGGAACCAATGGCAGGACATGTGGGAAAGGCACAAAACAGCACCAGGGGCTGTTCAGACTGGGCATTAGGAAAATATTCTCTACTGTGAGGGTGGTCAAACACTGGAATGGGCTTTCTAGAGACCTGGTTGATGTCCCATGACTGTCAGTGTTCAACAGGCACTTGGATCATAGAAACACAGGATCAATGAACGTCTTGGTGAGGAAGAGACCTTAAAGATCATCCAGTTCTAAGCCCCCTGCCATGGGCAGGGATGTCACTCACTAGATAGGTTACCCAGTGCCTCAGCCAGCCTGGTCTTGAACACCTCCAAGGCTGAGCATCCACAACCTGTCTGGGCAACCTCTTCACTGTCTCACCATCCTCTGAGTGAAGAATTTCCTCCTAACCTGTGATGTAAATCACCTCTTTAAGTTTGAAACCTTTCCGCCCTCATCCTGTCATTATCTGATTGAGCAGAGTCTCTCTCCGTCTTTTTTATAACGCCCCTTAAATACTGAAAGGCATCAATGGGGTCCCCCCACAACCTTTTCTTTTGTAGGCAGAACAGCCTCAGATCTCTCAGTCTTTCTTCATAAAAGAGATGCTGCAGCCCTCTGATCAACTTCATGGCCCTCCTCTGGACCTGCTAACAGCTCAACATCCTTCTCGGGCTGGGGTCCCCAGACCTGGACACAGTATTCCAAGTGGGGCCTCACAAGAGCAGAGTAGAGGGGGACAACCACCACCCTCGACCTGATGGCCAGTCCTCTTTTGATGCAGTCCAGGTTGCTGCTGGCCTTCTGGCTTGCAAGCACACACTGTCAGTGCTTATCAAGCTTGTCATCAGCCTCTGCTCTGCTCAAGGAAGGGGATATGGTGAGAACACACCACGTGCCACCCCATGGTTTTACCTGCATGACCATGGAGAGGACATGAAAAAATGGGATGGGAAATCTACCTTGACCCTAGAGGCACAGGTATGCGAGTTGCAACAAAAACAATGGCCAAAGGGGGGGGGGGCATCCATATAGCAGAAAATTACTGCTCCTGTTTCCATCAGACAGTCCCTGAGACACACTGACAACTACTAAGAATAGGGCTAGAGGGGCCCTGCTTCCAACCAGATGGAGGGAAGGGATAATCATGTTTATTGGCTTGTGTGGATTTGATGGCCTGGAATCATAGAAGCATAGAATCATAGAATATTCTGAGTTGGAAGGGACACACAAGGATCATTGAGTCCAACTCCTGGTACCAGACAGGTCCACTCAAAAATTCAGACCATGTGACTAAGTGCACAGTCCAAACACTTCTTAAACTCTGACAGGTTTGGTGCTGTGACTACTTCTCTGGGGAGCCTGTTGCAGTGTGTGTGACAACACCCTCAGTGAAGAACCTCTTCCTGATGTCTAGCTTAAACATCCCCTGCGTCAGCTTGACTCCATTCCCATGGGTCCTATCACTGGTCACCAAAGAGAATAGATTAACACCTGTCCCTCCACTCCCCCTCATAAGGAAATTGTAGACCATGATGAGGTCTCCCCTCAGCCTCCTCTATTCCAGGCTGAACAGGCCAAGTAACCTCAGCCACTCCTCATACGTCTTCCCCTCTATGTCCTTCAACATATTCATAGCCCTAGCAATGCTGTGCTTGATGCACCTCAGGATAAAGTTGGCCCTCCTGGCGGCCAGGGCACACTGCTGGCTCATATTCAGCTTGCTGTCAACCACAACTTCCAGATCCTTCTCTGTGGGGCTGCTCTCCAGCATCTTCTCCCCCAGTCTGTAAATATAGCCAGGGTTGTCCCATCCCAGGTTCAGGACCTGGCACTTGCTCTTGTTAAACTTCATGCGGTTGGTGATTGCCCAGCTCTCCAGTCTGTCCAGATCTCTCTGCAAGGTATTTCCACCCTCATCAGAGTCAACAACTCCTCCCAGTTTGGTGTCATCAGCAAATTTCCTCAAAACAACTTCTAGTCCTGCATCTAAATCACTTATAAAAACTTTGAAGAGGACTGGCCCTAAAATGGAGCCTTGGGGTTCCCACTAGTGACTGTCCACCAACCTGATGTGGCCCCCATTTACCACAACCCTTTGAGCCCTACCCATCAGCCAATTGCTATCCCATTGTATGATGGCTTTATTTAGCTGTATGCTGGACATTCTGTCCAGTAGGATGCTACGGGAAACTGTGTCAAAAGCTTTACTGAAATCCAAAAATGTCAGACACACAAGAGTATAAGGCTCAAGTGGACACTGATGCTAAGTGTACTGTAATGCCATCAAACTATAAAGGGGCAAATCCCGTTTGTATTTCTGCAGTGACAGGGAGATCCCAACTGGTAATGGTATTGGAGGCTGAAGTGAGCCTAACTGGGAAGGAGTAGCAAAAAGCACCCAGCTGGGACTGGCCTGGAGGCTCTGTACGTGCTCGGCATAGACTACTTCAGGAGAGGGTACTTCCAAGATCCAGAAGGGTTCCGGTGGGCTTTTGGCATGTCTGCCTTGGCAACGGAGGACATTATACAGCTGTCTGCCTTGACCTGGTCTCTCATGGGACCCTTCTATTGTGGGTTTGTTGAGGGTTGAAGAACAGCAGGTGCTGATGGTTACCCCAGCGGTGCCTCTGAGGCAGTATCATGCTAACTGAGACTCCCTGATTCCCATCCACATGATGGTTCATCAAGTGTAGAGCCCAGGGGTGAACAGCAAGACTCACTCACCCTTTATTAGTCTCATATGGCCAGTGGACTATCGTGGCTGGAATGAAGTCATGCCACTGCTGAGTGCTGCAGTGTCTGAGATACGACTTCACGGTAGGATTTGAATTTAGGGATTAGTGCAATGGATTTCTTCAAGCCTGAGGGATAGCGTTTAGGGTAACATCAGGTTCCTGGTTAGAAATATCGCCACTGGCCTAACATGAATATTTTCCCAGTGAGTGTTTGTCCTGGTTTCAGTTAGCACAGAATTAATTTTCTTCCTAGTAGCTGGTGGAATGCTGTGTT